TTTGAGATTACCTTTAGATTAATATTTAGCTGAAAAACAAAGACGAACCCTACATACACGAAACCCTTTACTCATCAAGAAAACAAAATATTACACTACCGAGGAGGCAACTGCCTTTCAGAACGCGGCTGGGTCCCTGCAACATGCTAACTGAACCCCTAGCCCCGCAGAACCAAAGGACTGAGCGGCAAACATGCAGGATCAGGGATGGAGCTTCAGACACGCGCATCTCACCTGTTGATGAAACCGTATCCGTTTCTTACATTGAACCATTTTACTGTTCCCAAAACCTTCGTTGCTGGAAAACAAAGCAAAACAACCCTCGATTACCAGCCACCCTTGTAAAATGCCCTGGCTTCGGGATCTATCCCCTTGCAGCTCTCGGGCACCTGACAGCCTTTTCTCTCCCCATCCCATTAACAGGCCCGCGCGGGGACCCCTAAGCGTCCCTTGCCTTACACGTGGGTGGGCTCAAAGCCGTGGGGCGCCGCAGGGCAGGCCTGGGGCGCGGGCCCAAGATGGGTGTGTACGCAGGCCGCGGGCGGGGAGCACGTGAGGGAAGGGGAAGCCGCCCAGCCCACTCCAGCCTGCGTAGGCGGCGCGCCGCGCCCTCTGGGCACACGCGGAAGGGAGCTGGGTGGGGGGAACCGAACAACGGAGTCCACGCCGAGCGCACGAGGGCGGCCGGTCCGCCCGCGGGCGCGCGAGAAGGGACCCGCCGCACACGCGGCGGGCTGCGCGCGGCCGCAGGGGGAGGGGTGCGCGGCCCGCGGGGTCCGCAGGGGGCGCGGAGGCGGCGTGCGCGCGCATACCGGGCACGCGGTGCGGGCGAGTCCGGGCCCGCGAGGGCGAGTGGGGCCGGGGGGAGGGGCGGCCGCGCGCGGAGAGTCGGTCCCGCCAGCCGCGCGCTCCGGCTCGCCCAGTGCCGGCTAACGGTTCCGAGACCAGACTTCCCCGTAGCCCCACCCCCGTCCCCGTTTAGCCCTCACCGATGACCTTCTTGTCCCCGCCGGCAGGCGCCGCCGATGTAAGGCCGCCCGGGCCGCCGCTCCCTGCGCCGCTGCCCGTGGTGCCGGGCTTGGTGTCGGCAGCGCTGAGGGCGGGGGCGGCGGGGGGGGCGGCGGGCGGCTGCTGGGTCTCGGCCTCGCTGCTCATGGTTGCGGTGATGGTGACTGGGGCCGGCTGCGGCAGCTGCGGCTCCTCCCGGGGTGTGATGGTAACTAGGCCGGCGGCGGCGGTGGGGCTGCTCAGGGCTCTCTGGGGTCCGCTCTCCGCTCCCGCTACCGATCGAACTAGCGAGAATGGCGGGACAGGCGGGATAAGCCCTGAGATCGACCCGCCCTAAGCATTGTTCATTGGCCACCTGTACCGTCAATCTCACCACCTGACCCGAAATCATTACTTCTATTGGCTAAATCTTTATCACTCCTCTACGCTCATTGGCCTTTAGTCGGCTAATTCGGCCGACCTACAACCGTTCCAGCCTCCGCCGCCATAGAGACCGGAACTAGAATTAGAGTAGTCACCTCGAGAACCATAGAGTACCGGCTAGGACGGCCAGAGAGAACGTGACTTTCACGAGGCTGCCGCCCGGGTGGGCGGGCTGCCTCTTTAGGGTTGTGTCCAGACTGAAGAAATGGCTTTGTGAGACACCTGGACCAATATCACCTGGCCTGACCTAGGGCTTGAAAAGGGTCAAATATCTCAGGCCCTTATAAAGAGGCGGCTTCCCTCCCTCTTTGCTCTAAGGCCTTTATCGCGGGGATTGAAATCTTTTCTTTAATGGCCGTGTGCTCACCGCACAGCACAGGGTTTCTGGAACTGACTTAAACGGATGCTCTCGATAAGCTAGTGCTTTTGGCGGTACAGTCACCTTGGAGGGACCACGCAGGCGCTAAGGCCGCCCCAGCTCTGCACAAATAGTATGAGCTGTGTACTCCGAAAACTGCCTTCTGGTCTATTTTTACCAGACCTGTAAAGAATGTGTCTGCCTTAAGTATTCACGTCTTTTTTGTATCAGACACAAATCAGACTTAATTTCAACTCACGCTTATTGGACAAGTTTTTTTTTTTTTCATTTTTATTCCTGCACAGCATTGTGAGATAAGGATTACTATACGTATTTTACAAACGGTAAAATTGAGGCAGCCACCTGATGTTGCTAAAGTCACTCCCATTCATTCTTACTGAGTGTCTGCTATTGATTGGGGATGGAGTCCTTTGAAACATCAGTTCCTGCCTTTTGATGGAGGCAGAAATTTAAACTCCCAACACTCCAGAGTTGCAAAAGCATATACCATCTTGAGAGTGGAAGCAGGAAGGTGGAGTGCTGACTTCAAGCAAAGGGAGGATTATGAAAGACTTGGAGCCAAAAGAGATGGGGCCCCAGGGGAAATGCAAATAAAGTAATTCAATAAAACTAAAATAAAACATCGGGTTATAGAGGTGGGTAGGGTCAATTTCAAATTAATTTGAAATCCTCAGATCAAGAGTGAGACGGCAATTTTAGAGTTCTAAATGGGGAGTGCCATCTGAGAATAGATTGTACAAGCAAGGAATGGAAGTAGGGAAATCAATTAGGTGGCTAGTATAGTAGTATTTATCCATCAATTCCATCTATGCCTTACCATTCCACCTCCTAAAGGCCTCCCTAAATCAGTTCTAAAAAATCTGATATCAATCCAGTCTCTTCATTCTTCATGCCACTACTCTGGACCAGCACTATCTATTGCTTAGACCAAGAGTAGGCAAACTTTTTCTGTCAGGGTCAATGTATGTATGTATGTATGTATGTATGTATGTATGCATGCATTTGTTTTGCGGTTTTAGGGATCATCGTCATGGCCTTGCATATGCTAATCAAGCACTTGACCACTGAGCTACACCCTCAACCATAAATAGTAAATATTTAAAGCTTTGTGGGCCACTAGGTTCTAACTACTCCATTTCAGAGCCTAAAAATAGCCATAAGTATGCGTATGTTACATGCCACAAATATTCTTCTTCACTTTCAATTATTTAAACGTCTAAAGACCATTCAAATTCTTAGAATGATCCATAGAAAAACAGGGAGTAAGATCTGGCTTCCAGCTGTTGCTTCCAAACTCTTGACTTGGAGCATTGTTTTGTGGCCTCTTAACCAGGAACAGTCTACCTCTTTTTCTTGGGAGTACTGGGGACCATTAGACCCAGGGCCTCATCCATCCCAGGCAAGCACCCTACCACTGTGCTACATCCTTAGTCCTTTGTATTCTGACACAGAGTCTCACTAAATTACCCAGGCTAATCATGAATTTGAGATCCTCCTGCCTTAGCCTCTGGAGTAGCTGGGATTATAGGTGTATATCACTACACCCAGCTACCTCTTCTTATATTGATATTCCCCACTATAGCCAATGCTCTTTGGAAAACATTTGACCATGACACTATCTTACTTAAAAATTTTCCAGTGACTACCATTGCCCTTAGGATAATCTAAATTCTTCATGTGGTTTACAGGGCTCTGTATGACTTCTCTAAACATACCTCCCTACTCTTCTTCCACATTCCTTGTCCAAACTTCCAGGGGCTTTTTTAATCATTTACTCCTTTGCACATACTGTTCTCACATCCTTTCTCCTCTTCTCCTTTGCTTACTTTTTCACCCTTTAGCTCTTGACACATATTACTAGGCTAGGAGTCCCTCCCAACCCAATACATTGTACTGCTCTAATTAAATCTTGCCTACCAACCTGTAAATTCCTTGAGCATCTAGCCTAGTGCCTAACACGTTAAATGACATGGTGTAGAAAATAAAGAAGGTGCTGGAAGCAGAAGTTATCTTAGATAGTTGGGGATATAGGCATGTGTTTGTCTCATATATGCAAGGCCCTGGTATAGGGGTGGGAAAAAAAAAAAGTCATCTGAGCAGCTGCACCACTAACCCAGGTGGGAAAATGCTTTCAGGAATGATGTGTATGGAGAAGCAGGTAGATTCCAAACCTGATACTCATCTATTGCAGCTTCAGATGGCTTTTGAATATTAAAAAGAATATCTTTCCTCATTTAAAGGCATGCCCTGTAGGCTTGAGAGCTTTACCCCAAAGTTGAGTTACAAAGACACTTAGAAAAGTGCAGTAGCACCCCTTAAGAAGTGAGCAACTACCCTACATGACTGCTCTGAAGGGATGGCTTTTCAAGCAGAATACAAATTTTGTAACCTTTGTCTTTAAAATGTTACTTAGAAAAGCATCATACTTACTCATCCAGTTATTTCAATCAGCTCTCTTCATGCTCAATGAGCATGACATGAAGATGAGTTGTTACAGCACTGCGGAGATGGTACTGAAGTGCCACAGGACCAACAGTTCATGTTGAAATTCATCTCCAGTTCTGAAGTTGGCACTTACTCCAGAGTTCTGCTAGTCCCCCTTGCCACCCTAAGAGCTCACACTATTCAGATATGCAGTGACCACACTACACGCAAATCCAGCTGACTGCCAATGTAAGGGGAAAGGGATTCATCCCAAGACTCTCCTTTGTAAGGTTCCCCACCTCTACAGACTCTGGACTAAGAACATAGTTCCTTCCTCCCCACCCTAATGTCCTAGCTAATTCCAACCAATCTGTCAATACTTACCTCAGATGGCACTTCTTCCAAGAAATCATTTTTTGACCTATCCCCCTCACCTTTCCATTTTACTCACATTTTACCCCCACCCTCCACCCCTTGGGAGTCAATGGAGTGCTCTACCATTGAGCCATACCCCCAGCCCTTTTTAATTTTCCATTTTGAAAAAGGGTCTCACTATGTGGTTAAAGTTTTCACAAAGTTGCTGAGGCTAACCTTGAACTTTCAATCCTCCAGCCTCAACTTCCTGAGTCACTGTGATAATAGATATGCACCATCATGCCTGGCCATCATAATCATTTAAAAATGACACACATGCACATACACAAAAATCAAACCAAACTAAAACAAAACAAACAAAAAACAAAAACAACACACAAAAATCCTTTATTTACAGTTGAAAATTTAAGCACGGACAATTGTAGTTCTGAATCTGTGATATTCCAGGATCTCTTGATCAAACAGGGTCACAGCAGGCAGGAGTGCAAACACAGAGGCCAGTCCAGCTTATATGACTCAAGAACATCATCCAGAGCAAGGAATGATCTACAACGGCAGAGACAGGAAGGTCAGTAGAGGATGGGGAGATAAGCAGCTCAAGGGAATAAGAAAGCAATATTCATGACAGACAATGTTTCCAGCTGTCCTCTATACTTCTCATTCTCTTTCCCAAAGAGTATAACCCATTCAACTTTTTATCATAGGTCAAACCCCCCTATAGAGAACAAAAATATATATTGGATAGGAACCAAAAAAAGGATACTAATATTTATGGCTAAACATATTATCTCATTATTTACCCTTCATAACTCTGTGCAATATATTTTCTCTATTTGCAACGAGGCAAACTAGAATCCCAAGTGGTTCAATGACTTAACTTAACATCAGAGTTAGTGAGACAGTGGTGGGACTTCTTGGTCTACTTGGCTCCTAGGCCTGTGTCCTTTTTATCAGGCTTTGATCACTCCCTGTGGAGCTCCTTCCTTACAGGTTTTGGTCCCAGGAATACAGAGAAAGGAAAGCCCACCATATATATAATAAACAGATCTTTCATTCATATATATATATATATATATATATATATATATATATGACAGTATGTCCTCTATGATGCCAGGTTCAGATAGAAGTTTAACCCCAAGAGATAGGTACATGATGTCTCTAATCCTAGCTACTCAGGAGGTTGAAATGATGTCTCTAATCCCAGCTACTCAGGAGGTTGAAGCAGGAGGATCCCAAATTCAAGGGCAGCCTCAGTGATTTGGCAAGACACTATCTCAAAACAAAAAGTAGAAAGGATTGGGGATATAATTTAGTGGTAAGATGCCCCTGGATTCAAACAAACAAACAAATAAAAACCACAAATAAAAAGTTTAACCAAGGGCCATCAACTTAACAGTATAAAAATGAATAAATGTGTTTCATCAGTTGCATAGTGCACCAAGACCAGGCACTACTAGACCCATTGGCTCTATTGGACCAGGCACTGGGTTGGTCAACATGATCCTTGCTTCAAGAAATTCTTGGTAGAAAGGCAATATGTCAATCAATGGAAGGGAAACTGATGTGATACAGCAATTTGTATACGGGGTAAAAGGGGGAGTTCATAATCCACGTGAATCAAACCGTGTAATATGATGTATTAAGAACTATGTAATGTTATGAACGACCAATAAAAAAAAAAAAAAAAAAAAAAAAAGAAATTCTTGGTCCAGAGAAAAACATACCAGCACATTTTAGAGAAAGCAAGTGTTGTGGAAGCACTCAAGTGGGACCACTGCCTAGGCTTGTAGCTGAGAGGAAAAGATAGAGAGATCAGGGAAGATTTATAAACTGATGTTAGATATAGTTAGAAGCATGCTCTTGGGAGAGGCTGAGAGGAATTAAAATTAATTAGAACTACATATATGCATAGTATATACTTCTATTATAAAATGCATGCTCAATGTGAAAATTCAAGTAGGACAATATAAAACTGAATAGAAAGTCTCTTTTGTATCTATCAACAGTCTACTACTTTTCACTGCAGAAAATTTCTCAAATAATTATTCAATATAAATTGTGCCCTTTTTACACAATGTACACTATCTTGACTGTCAATTTGTCTTAGAAACCTTGCCACTACACAGAGGTCTTACCTCTTTCGTTTTATTAAGGCTGAATAGCATTCCACTTACAAGTCATATTTCCATGTGTGGAAGGCCCAGTTATCTGCAGCCAGCTTACCTTTGCACTGGATTGAACTGGAATGGAGCCTGACATTCTCCCACCGGCCCCCCTGCCTTTTCAGCTGACAGGCTTCTAACTTTCACAGCAGGGAACAGTTTTACACACTCCAACGGCACGCAAGTATAAACTACCACATCTCACAGGGTACTCCCTAGACCTATTTTCATGGGGATCCTCTTTTCTCTTGCCTGGATTACAGTAACTCCTACTAGTCTCCAGTCCATGCTGTCAGAATCTTCTGAAGAAGAAAATTCATCTGTAAGATTCTCCTGCCCCAAATCTCTCATTGGCTCATTGGACTAATTCTTTTTGGAGGGTCAGGACCCCCTTTGAGAATCATGGAAACACAATGGACTCTCTCCGGGAGAGGAGGATTGTGTGAAGCCCATCCCCTCCTCTCAGAAGAGCATAAGAATTATTTGCCTGGCACTGGCTCTGGCCTTCCTCCAGCTTCATTTTCTTCCACTTTGGCCATACTGAATTATTTGTGGTTCCCCCTACACTGCTCTCTTACCTTTATGCCTTTGCACATGCTTTGCCTCTGTCAGGAATGACCTCAGTCTTAGTCCCTGACAAGGTCTATTCTTTCTTGTAGAACTTCAGCTGTTTCCCAATCCGCTCCAGGCAGAACCAGGCCTCCTTCACATTTTCCTTGTTCTAAAACCTTTAATCCAGTGCTCCCCACCCTCACCTCCACCCCAGTACTGGGGATGGAATGCAGAGCCTCACTAACAATAAGCAAGTGCTGGACCCCAGCCCCAGCTCTTTAGTCTTTGAGACAGGGTCTTGCTAAGTTGTATAGGCTAGCTGGGTGCAACCTGTTATCTCAGCAACTCAGGAGACTGAATCAGGAGGATAATAAGTTTGAGGTCAGTCTGGGCAACTTCATGAGACCCCCTCCCCAATTTATTAAAAAATAAAAAAGTCTAGTTTGTAGCTGAGCAGTAAAACAACCCTGGATTCAATCCCCAGTGACAGATACACACAGACACAAACCGATACACACACACACACACACACACACACACACACACACACACACGTTGCCCAGGCTGGCCTCAAACTTGTGACTCTCCTGCCTCAGCCTCTTGAGTAGCTGGGATTACAGGTATGTGCCACTGTACTCAGCCACGGAACCTATCAATCAATCAGTGCTTACTTACGGAATGAATGGAGAACAAGACCAATTGCAACCAACACATCTTGTATAATCTTTACCTACCGGAATGTCTCCAGGTAATTCCAGAATGGGGGATAGTGTTTCCTATACCTCAGTCATTTAAATAGCACCTTAAGGGCTGGGGATGTATATAGCTGTGGCAGAGCCCTTGCTTAGGCATAAGCAATGCTGGTTTTGATTCCCAGCATTGGCTGGGGGGAACAAATAGCACCTTCACAACTACTACCATATTTATTGTCCACAGGTACAATTTTTTTTAACATTATCACTCTTTGAATTTTAATATTGTCTCACTGTAAACTATAACTATAATAATATGTGTGTACTAATATTTTTTCCTAAGTACAAATATTAAAATAAAAGGTTGGTTTTCACACTTCTTTGATAAGCAGGAGAGGATCTGTAAATTAGGTTAGGTTTGGCAAGTGCCCCCAAATGATTTTCATCTGTATGGGAGTTTAGGCAACTATGAACCAAGGAAAGCTGTCTACCACTTGGAACTAGTATTAGGTATGAGAATCACAGGGAGGCAGACAGCATATTAGACTAGCAGCGCTGCCTAACCAGTCCCTCTTCCAAGACACCGAGGCTATGAAACCAGAGCTACCACTGACTCCCATGTACATGTAAGTAGCCAAGAACCCATTCAGACAATAGCAGGAAGATCCTGAGGTCAACATTCCTTTGTGCTATAGCTAACCCAATTCATCATTAAAAGATTTCCCAGGACCCACTAAGATAAAACCAAGGTTTCTACATTAGGGCTGTGCAGACACCTTAATTTTTAACAAAATCAAAGTCAGATCCTGAGAAGGCAAAATATAAAAGAGTTTTGTGAGGAATTGCTCCATAGGAGGTACCAATGATCAGAGACCTCACCTGTTTTCCATCTCCATCCCAGCTCCTTCATCTCATAGATTACAAGATTAGAGATACTTATAACTTTACAGCTGGGACGAAAAATGATGGGATGATACTACCTGTCACTCTGCCCCCAATATAGGGATTCTTGGTAATATGGGATAATTCAAGCGAAGTTCTTATTTCAATATTTGGACAACAGAAGTATTCAATAAGGGATAACTGCTTTTATTAGTGTTCCTAGGTACCTAGGTTGAGAGTTCACTGGCTAATACAGTAGCTACTAGCCATATATGACTCTTAAAAAAATTTAGATGAAATTTAAAATTCAGTCCCATGGTCACACCAGCACATTTCAAGTGCTCAAATGTCACATGTGGAAGGCAGCTACCATACTAAACAGTGCACACATGGAACATTTCCATTATTACAAAAAGGATTATGTTTTGGCAGTCCTGATGAAGAAACCTCTGGAATGTAAAATGTCCATCTGAGGAATCTGTTCTACTTGGGTTGCAGGCTGGCAAGAGGGGCTTTCATGGGGGCACAGATTAGAACTTGTAGTAATTTCTATAAAGAACTCACAAAATTACAGAAAAAGAGGCTCCAAAATGAAGAATTTCTAAACTTTATTCATTTTGTTATCTTCTGACCTCCAGTATAATCCATGGTCAATCTTCAAAAGGAAAAAGGACCTATGAGTACAACTTTAGTTACACAAAGAAATGAGTGGGAAAATGTAAGAAGGGCCAATAGCTACTGAAGAGGGAGAACAGGTTGAGTCCAAGGGGCCCTCAGTATCAGCAGAAAGGAAGGCTCAGTGTATCAATGGGCCTAAGAAGAGACCATTTGGTTGAACAAGAGAGTGGTCCACTTGCAGCACTCAATATACACTTGTGCATTCCTTCCTCAGCATTTGCTCACATCAGTTCCCTGTCTAAGATGCCTGGCATTTTCCCTCTCTATCATCCCATGTAAGAAATTTTTACTGAATGCCTATAAGTGCCAGATGCCGGAACACAAAGTATGATACTAAGTATGATACAAAGTATGGCCTGATATTTGACTGGACTCTATTTGGATAAAAGGACAGGAAACTTATCTTATACCATACAGAAAAATAAATTCTAGATAAATTTAAGTATACAATAAAACTACTGAAATACTCAAAAGAATACAGAGACATTATGATCTGAGGAAATGTAGACCTTCTTAAGACAAAACTGAAAAGTTATAAGGAATTGATAATTTGACTTCATCAAAATTTAGAACTTCTGTTAGCAGAGGATATTTTCAACCTTAAATAACACAATACCAGTATATTCTAGAGAACAGTCACAACATATAAAACAGAAAACTAATATTTATAATGTATAAATATTCAAATCATTAAGGGGAAACTATATGGTACAAATGTCTGATAAGAGTATTTATTATAGTTCTGTTTTAAATAAGATAGTTTCATATGAACAAAGAAGGACAAATTATCAAGACATAATGCCAAGCTGGGTGTGATGGTGCAAGCCTGGAATCCTAGCCACTTGGGAGGCTGAGGCAGGAGGATCACGAATCCAAAGTTAGCCTCAGCAACTTAGAGAGGTCCTAAGCAACTCAGTGAGACTGTCTCTAAGTAAAATACAAAATAGGGCTAGGGATGTGGCTCAGTGGATGAGGGCTCCAGAGTTTAATCCCTGGTATCCAATCACCCCAAAAAGACATAATGCCAAATAGAAAGAAAAAAAAGAACAATCTAGTACAAATTAGGAAAAACAAATCCTTCCAAAATTAGATGTCCCAATGAATATATATCAAACCAAGAGGCTGGGATGTAGTTCAGTAGTAGAGTACTTTTCTAGCATGCATTGAGGCCCTGGGTTCAATCCTCAGCACCACAAAAAGGAAAAAAAAAAAAATTCTCAAACTGATAAGGAAATGACTTGTGAGAGGGAATGTGGATTTCAGGGGGCTTTTATTTCATCTCTTTGGTGTGAAAATTTTCAAAAGAGATCATATTGTTACTTGTGTAATTAAAAAATAAAGAACCAAATGAAATATGATAGGAATCTTGACTGAACTTTAAAATTTTCTTTTTCTTTATTGAGATGGGGTTTTGCTGTGTTGCTGAGGATGGTCTTGAACTCCTGGGTTCATGTGATTCTCCTGCCTCAGCCTCCTGAATTAGCTGGCACAAGACACCACACTTGGCCAGGATCTTTTTGTTTTAAAGCTCTAAAAGTTACTTTGGGGGAAGTCTGAACATGTACCATATATTAGATAATAATATTCTGGTTATGTATGCTTAAGAAGTCTGCAATATTAAAATGGGAAAAAAATGGAAAGGAGGGAAAGAAAGAAGAAGGAAGGGAAAAAAAAGGAGGGGAAAATGAATAAGAAAAAGGAGGAGAGGGAGTGGGAATGGGAGTGGAGAGAAGAAGGGAAAGCAAAAACAAATGTCAAGGCAAAACAATAAAACAAAAACATTAATCAATGGTGAATCTAGTGTTCAATGTACTGTTTTCCCAACTTTTCTGCAAATCTGGAAAAAAAGAAAAAAAGACAGACAAAATACCACCTTCCCTCACCTAGGTGGGAGTGACCCATTTTTCCCTTGTTGTCTCAAAACACTTATAATGTCACTCTTATTAGTAGTGATCACCTCCAAGGATGTCTTAATTCCTAGGAGCTCTTGAAAGGTAGAGACCTTTGAATTCTTTACTAGCCTGCTGCCTGGCCCAGAGCAGGAAGTAGTATACTATGCGAAGGAATGGAGTTCATGAAGACAGAGCAATGTAAGGCGTTTAAAGTTTGGGCCTAACTGCAACATCAGTTCTGATGAGAAGCATGACAGATATGTCTCCTGGCTAATCCCAGTAGAGCTGCCCAGGGTTGGAGTCAGGTCCTTCTAGTTGGACTAGTGAATGGAGCTATAGTTTGACAGTACTATTACAAACTGCCTGAGTGGTTTTCAGATTGAGAGAAAAGTAATGTACTTCCATAATCCTTTCTCTTTTGTTTCTTGTGATGACCTTAAGGGATAAGTATCCTCTCCTTCTGACAGATGAGGGGAAAAGCTCAGAGAGAAATTTTTCTAAAGTTACACAGAGAGGAAGTGGGTTCAATCCTATCCATGTCTTTTAAGTTTTTCCACTAGACCAAAACTGCCTTCTTTGGAGCCTTACTCCTTCCTAACAAATAGGAGAGAACACACTTACCTGACTCAGTCTTGGTCTGGACTACATCTCCCCACACTGTGAAATTACCACAGGCAGTTTCGGTTTATTGTTGGGGCCTGTGGGAACATTCTAGAAAAGAAAGCGCAGTGAAGATTCATTCACTCAGGGACTTGCTCACTCCCTCAAACATTTACTGACACCCGCCAGCTCTCTCCCTATACTAAGGATTCAGTAACTCAAGAGACCAATATGAAAATATATGTCCTTGCACACAGATAAACTATATAACACAAATCAAAGAGAAAATGTAAAACACTAAGAAAATAGCAATCCTGTGATATATAACAATGTAATAAATATTAAGAAATAGATGAAAAAGGGACAAATGGAATAATTAAGTGATGCATAAAGAAGGAAGAAAGATAGTAGAATGAATTGGACATAACTTTCCTCTGCTCATATATGAATACACCTCCAGTGTAATTCCACATCATGTACAACCACAAGAATGAGAAGTTATACCCATGTATGTGTGACATGTCAAAATACATTTTACTGTTATGTGTAAATAAAAAGAACAGATAAAAAATTTTTTTAAAAGGCAGGAAAAAAAAAAAAAAAGAAGTCAAGGAAGGATTCACAGAGTGGAGACATTGGAATGTGAATGAATGGGATCCCACCAGGAAGAAAAACATGAGCACTCCAGGTAGAGGAAGGACATGAGCAAAGGCTCAGGAATAGGGAAGAGTAGGATGTGGGCACAGAAATGGCACATTTAGAGAAGAGCTAATAGTCTGATGTGACTGGAACACAAAGGAGGAAGTGTCAAAAGAAGCGGCCATGTAGAGGTAGGCAGAGACCAGATCATGAAGGATTTTGAATACAATGCTGAGAATGGAATTTTATCAAATAGGTGACAAGGTTATCAGAGGCCAAACCTCAGTATTGGCCAGAGAGATTAGTTTCCAGGGCCAAGAAAACTTGAGAGGCATTCCCTCCTGTTCCTAAGGCAATTGTGAAACCAGAAACAATAACAACTAGGCCTAACAAACTGAAGCCCACTCATACTTTATCTCCTCACTGCTAGTCAGATAGTACCAGATCAGAAACACTGAGAAAGAAGACATTGAATAAAGACTTACCTCAATCTTTCTCATCACAAGAAGTCCATCAATGATTTTTCCTATAAAAAGAACTAGACTTTATTTTTCACATTTGCATAGCATTTTCCAATTCCCAAAGCAGATTCTTAACTATTATCTCATTAGATCCTCTTAATAACTTCTGAAAATTGAGATTCAGTGAGGTGAAATGACTTATCCAAGGTCACAGGTACTAAGTAGTCAGTTAGGGTTCAAGTTTAGGCCTAAGCAATTCCAAAGCCTCACTGTATCATGCTGCTTCTGTGGCATTTCTTTAATGATAGCATCTGGGCTTTCCCCTAGAATACATATTACCCAAATGGTTACATACTATATCGGATGGTCCTTTGTCCTTCCTTCTAGTTCCCTAACCACACATTTTCCCCACCTTCCTACAATATCCACCTTCCCTATTACTACCTAGAGCAGTTATACCATGTGAACACTCTTTCTTTTGGTACCAGGGACTGAACTCGGGGGTACTCCACCACTGAACCACATCCCCAGTCCTTTTTTGTATTTTATTTAGAGACAGGGTCTCAATGAGTTGCTTAGTGCCTCACAGTTGCTGAGGCTGGTTTTGAACTCGCAATTCTCCTGTCTCAGCCTCCCAAGCCCCTGGGATTCTAGGCGTGTGCCACCACGCCTGACCACTTGAACACTCTTAGTGAGAGTTTGGAGACTGGATCTGGAAGCCCCACCCGGGGTTAGTGGGACTTGGACAATGGGACAGGAGTAGGACTTACCAAACACTACATGCTTCCCATCCAGCCAATCACACTTAGAGCAGGTGATAAAGAACTGACAGCCATTTGTACTGGGACCACTGTTTGCCTGATATAAATGAAATATATTTGCAGTAAGTTTCCCTGGCCATATTAGTTAAGTGTAAGATTCCCAAAAGAGCCTGATTCATCTATGCTCTCTTTCAGCAAATCTAACAGGGCACTGATCATGATCCAGCCTCTTCTAGAACACTAGGATATGGGGAAGAAAAGAACACACAATTCCTGTCCCAAAGGAATTATATCTTTTAATAAATGTACATTTCTCCTAAATGATAGTTTTTCTAAGAGAAACAATTATTCATGGGACATAATTTGGTATATTTAGTCCAAAACTGGTTAAAAATGGATTTCAGTTACAAATTCAGTGCCTGCTAGGAAAAGACCTGTTGCCTATGCAATAAACTTTTTATCTTAAATGGCTTTATACTATCTGGGCAGTGACACACACTGGTAATCCCAGCTACCTGCGGAGATGAGGCAGGAGGATGGTAAGTTCAAGGTTTGGCCTGGGCAACAAAGTTAAGACCATCTCAAATCAATCAATAAATAGCTTTATAACAAACTATCATGTTTGTTTTGTGATTGTTTATATTTACGGTTATACCTCAAACCTTTTATTATTGAATTTTATCATAAAAAGTATTATTTTAAATTGAGAATCTGAAACTATAGCTGTATCTCTCCTTTTCCTCTCTTGAAATTGTTTTAACATCATTATATTTAATAATGTATTATGAATGAATAGGTTATAGTTTCAGTGCAGTGATACTTACATTTCTCATATGAACATTTCTTATATGTATCAAAAAACATTTCTTATATGTATTACTAAATTGCCTTTAAAATGCTAAGTTCAGACTTTGTATACAAGCAAAGCCAAGTTGTTTCAGCAGCACTGCCTAACAAGTGACTATGTAACTATGAAAATTTTATTGCATAACTTCTCTTATTCTGGGAAAAAAGGAGTAGGAAATGGAAAACTGAAAGTGCTTCTTGTACTAAAAAGAAACATAGGTTTCACAAATAAATAAAAATTGTATCCATCTACAACTAAAAAAAAAAAAAATTATTGAAATTGGCTTTGAACTCATGATCTTCCTGCCCTGGCTTCCCAGGCTGCTAGGATTATAGGCGTGCGCTTGCCCAACAAAACTGGAACTTATATTAAGTAGGTCACTAGCCTTAATCAGATAGTTTAATGAATTTAAAATGGTTGAGTCTGTGTTCAACTATGAAGGAAAAAAATTCATAAAATACTAGCAAAATATTAAAGCCAATATCTAGGGATAATCTCTAAGTAATTTTATATTATGCTTTAGAAATCTCCTATGTAAGATGAGGCTATTTTAGTTTTTGTAAGATAAAGAGAGTAAAATGAGGTTATTTTTGGCATTCATACATGTATTCAAAAACATCTTGCCAGGTGCAATGGCACATGCCTGTAATCTTAGCATACGATGAGACAAGAGGATTGCAAGTTCAAAGCCATCGTCAGCAAATTAGCAAGGCCCTAAGCAACCTGGAGAGACTGTCTCAAATAAAAATATTAAAAAGGGTGTTGGGGGGGCGGATGTTGAGGATATGGTTCCATGGTTAAGCGCCCCAGGGTTCAATCCCTGGTACAACAACAACAAAAAAATCTCAGCTGAGTACAGTGGCACACACTGGAAATTTCAGCTACTCAGGAGGTGAAGGCAAGAAAATCACAAATTTGAGACCAGCCTAGGCAATTTAGTAAGTCTCTGTCTCAAAATAAAAAGTGCTGGGATGTTACTCAGTGGCAAAGAGTCTGCCTAACATGCATGAGGCCCTGTGTTCAATCCCTAGTACCATACACATGTAAAAAGAACATCTCATATATGAAAGTTAGGGACTACCTGAGCTGTCCAAAATAGGTCCATGCTTTGGAACAAGGGATCAGAATTCCCAGGGACCTTATTTCATCTATCTTTATTTTGCAGATCAGTATAATCATTTTTTAGCAAACAAAAACAAAAAGTCATATGAACATTTTTGTAGCTCAGGAATACTCTGTCCTTAGGCACTTATTTATTCATTCTTCTGGTGGTATAGCTTATGTTTAGAGAATAAACTGTAGCTAGATAACCTAGCTTGAACCCCAACTCTACCACTGGCTGTGTGACCTTACTTTAGACATGTGACCTATCTGTGTCTGTTTCCTCATTACCTATCTCAAACAGAGTTTGGAGAGTATTAACATGAAATAAGGCAGGTAAGGTGCTTATTAAGTATCCAATAAATGTTACCCACTATTCTGATTGTTATTCTGTCACTCATCAGCATTTGTTCAATAGCCTTTCTATGATAGGAAGAAAGGCCTGGTAATCAGGAGACTTACTTCTGTCCTTGAAGAATTCAATGGAAAGACGGAAGCCAAAACAACCATGCTACAAGACTTACAATAGCACAACTTGGCCAATAATGCCTGGCCAATAATGCCAGCCACAGTGGCACATGTCAGCAATCCCAGTGACTCAAGAAGTTTAAGCAGGAGGATTGCAAGTTTGAGGCCAATCTTAATAATAAGACCCTGTCTCAAAATGAAAAATAAAAAGGTCAGTGGTAAAGCACCCTTGGGTTTAATCCCCAGTACCAAAACCAAACAAACATCAACAACAACAACAAAACCCACCTTAGTTAGTATCAGCCTAAAGGGGACAGAAACCAAGGCTTCCTTCCATTTTTCCAACTCCTCCACAGGTGCTAGCACTATGCCATGACCAGAGAGGGGTTTTAATTCTCACAGCAAAGATAAGCCCACCTTAGCTGGTTTTGCACCTTTTACCTGTGCTTATCCAGCCTGGCTTTTTTACTAAAGGGACTTGCAAACTGCTAATCTAGTCTTGCCCAATTGTTAGGGCAGCCTCTTAATGACTTCCTTGCCTCAATTTCCCAAATGCCACTCACACTACAGGTAGAGTCTTCATTCTCAAACACAAAGTTGATCAACTCTATTCAAAGGAGTGTAATATGGCTCTCCAAAACCTATGAAAGCAAGCCCATACACCTCAACCTTTTTCTAGCCCTTCAGGAGCTAGATCTACCTGCCCCTTCAGTTTCTCTACTGGCCATTCCCTCCTCCCATTTGCATCCTCTGCTCTCATTACCTTTATCACTTTCTGACCCTTGAATATTCAGTCCTGCTATTTTATGGTCTTGGACATTTGCAGAACCTGTTTGCTATACCTGAAATGTTCCTTTTTCTTGTTATCTAGTACAAAATTTATTTAAGAACTCAGATGTCCTTTCCTCTGTGAAGGCTTCTCCTACCCCTAGAAGCATCATTCTCATTCCTCTGGGTCTTCCCAGTCCTTTTTATGTCCATAGAGGCACCCTCACCTTTATACCCTGATGGCACAGACTACACTATACCAAACTGGTCATTTTACCTGCATGTTTCCCCTGGTAAGTGGTAGTGGTAAGTATCACAATGGCAGGAATCAAGGGTATATTCTTTTTTTTTTTTTTGGGGGGGGGGGGGGGGGGCTAGGAATTGAACTCAGGGGTACTCAACCACTGAGCCACATCCCCAGCCCTGTTCTGTATTTTGATTTGAGACAGAGTCTCACTGAGTTGCTTAGTGCCTCACTATTGCTGAGGCTGGCTTTGAACTTTCGATCCTCCTGTCTCAGCCTTCTAGCTGCTGGGATTACAGACAAGGCACCACCACGCCCAGCTCAAGGCTATATTCTTATACCATATTCTTATGGTATATTCTTATACCATATTCTTATGGTATATTCTTATACCATATTCTTATGGTATATTCTTATACCATAAGAACTGAAACAAAGTGGCTGTGAAGAGTGCGCAAGCAGGACAGAGAATATGCATGTAAATATTAGGACTGGGAAAGTGAGACTTGGGGTACTGATGGAGGGAAATTGGTGCTATCGGTGGGAAATGAGAGAGAAGAAAGAGGGAAGAATATGGCAAAGGATGAGAGAGGGATAAATACACAGAAGCGAGTATGGAGGAGAGTGAGGAGAACAGAAGACTGTAAAGGGGGTTGAGATACCAGAGATTATAAATGGGCGTCAGGGTGGTGGGACATGGGAGCAGGACGGATGAACAAGAGGTGAGTGAGAAAAGCAGGTGAGTGGCCAGCAGGCAGCGTAGGTAAACAGCTGCAGTGAGTGAGTGACCATGGGTAGGACAATAAGTAGATGGACACCAGGTCTTGAGAGCACAACTAGTTGCATTCTGAGCCATAAAGCTGAATGCCCAGCCACACATCCTGTCTCACACAAAAGTAAGAAACACATCAGAATGTGATTTTCTTCTCCATGTTTCAGGTGAGCAAATTGAAGTCTGGGTAATAAAGGCTAGTAGGCCTTGCCCAACAACCAGACTAAGGAAGGAGGTGGGGGTGGCAGATGTGAGGCCAGAGTCAAGCAAGAGAAGGAAAACATTTGCTCCTATTCAGAGACAGGATTGGGCCTCACGTGGGTCCAGAAACCTGCAATCAACCTAACCCAAATTCTTGACTGAACCTCACTTACCATGGAAAGAAGGCCTGGAGCTGAGTGTCTAAGTTTAAAATTTTCATCTGCAAATGGCCCCCGGTAAATACTGGCAACTCCGGTACCATCTCCCTGAGCAAAGAGAAACAAAGAATTAGTGGTTTGGAGGGCTGGGCACCCTGGAAATACTAAACCCAAAGCCCAGCTTCTTTAAAGTCTATTTTTACTATTCTTGATTACCTTGGAAACCACATCTCTTTGGTCCTACCCTGCAATCAAAGCAAGACCCAGGTAAGGCACCTGTAAGACCAGACTCTCACCAAGACATCTCACAGATTGGATAAAACAGATCCTCTAGAAAGATCGTTAAGGTAAGGGCAAAGTAAGGAACAACAGCACAGTGATCACATATATAATCCTACCATTCCCAAAGACTCTCATGAATGCAGTGACATAAAAGTACCCTCTTAAGTGAGACTACCCACTCCCCAAAATATCTATGAGGGTGGGTAAGTACTTGGCACTCTGGTCTATACATGATACTACCCTCCTGTCCAACCAAAGTTGACTAGTCCAGGGAAGAATATCTAACCCATACTGGGCCAACTAGAATTCCATCTCTAGGAATCCAGAAGTGGAATAGATGCTCTCTCTGAGGTTGAATTTGCACCCAGTGAATTGGGAAACTGGAGGTGTCTATCTTCTACAAAGTAGACCAGAGGAGAGAAAGTGAACATCGTACAGATGTGCAGAGAGCAATAGAGAAACAGAATTAAAGAACTACCTTGGGGGGCTGGGGCTGTAGCTCAGTGGTGGGGTGCTTTCCTGACACGTGGGTTCAATCCTCGCACCACATAAAGATAAATGGATAAAATAAAGGTATTGTATCCATCTACAACTACAAAAAAAAAAAAAAAAAAAAAAAAAAAGAACCACCTTGGTTCTTTATAGTTTCTGTTTCTATTTCTTCCTTTGATTCTGTGAAACACCCACCTTAATCATAAATTCCCAATTTCTGCTTAATCAAGATTTGCATTATCTCTTTGCTTTTACAACAGTCCTATGGAATAAGTGGTATCATCTCTATTTTTCAAATGAGCAAACTGAACTCTGGGTAATAAAGTCTTAAACATAATCCCTGAGGTTTTAAAAGGTAATACTGAGGGGTGCCAAAAAAATCAGTCTTTCCTAGTCAGTAAAGAGAAAGAATATTGGATATGTGGTAGGACTGGAAAACACTGACCTAGGGCTGGGGTTGTAGCTCAGTGTAGCATGTGTGAGGCACTGGGTTCAATTCTTAGCACCATATATAAATAAACAAACAAATAAGTAAATAATAAAGGTTCATCAACAATTTTTTTAAAAAATTAAAAAAAAAAMAAACAAGCACCGATCTAGTACAGAATACAGGGTCCCTTTCTGAGGTAAAGCCTACCAAACTGGATTAATGTAAAATGTAAGCCTAGGAAGAAAGGAAAACTGTCCAGATTCAAACTTTTATTTGGATAAATATCACATTTTGTGTAGTGAAGGACCTAGATTTGAGTTCCAAATCTATCACTTATTAGCTAGGAAAGCAACTTCCTATCTCAGCCTTGATGTGTTTTTTGGGGGGCGGGGGTGGGGATGGGGTGCAGGAGATTGAACTCAGGGGCACTCGACCACTAAGCCACAACCCTAGCCCTATTTTATTTAAAGACAGAGACTCACTGAGTTGCTTAGTTCCTTAATTTTGCTGAGGCTGGCTTTGAACTCGCGATATTCCTGCCTCAGCCTCCCGAACTGCTGGGATGACAGACATGCCCTACAGTGCCCAGCTTCAACCTTGTCTTCTTTACTTATCTAGTGAGTATGAAATCTCCACTCTTTTTGTTGTTGTTGGTACTGAGGAAGGCCTACCATGAGCTACATCCACAGCCCATTTTATTTTTTTATTTTGAGACAGGGTCTCATTAAGCTGCCAAGGCTGGCTTCAAACTTGCAATCTTTCTGCCTCAGGCTCCAAACTAGCTGGGATTTCAGGTGCATATCCCCATGCCCAGCTACAAAGCTTTTTTAAAAAAACTTAATGACAAGGAAAAGGACAGATAATTTCTAAATATGAAAAATAAGGTGTGATAGTTGATTTTGGTGTTAACTTTATCAGACTAAGGATACCTAGAGAACTGGCAAAACATGACTATGGAGGTGTTTCCAGAGAATATTGGCACATAAACATTAACCGAATGGGGAAAACATACTCTTAAGTGTAGATAAGCACTATCCAAATGGCTGGGGGCCTAGATAGATGGAACAGACAAGCAAAAAAAGGGGAAACTCTCTCTTGTTCTTCCTTCCTGAGTGGGACACCTTCATTTGTCCTGCTGCCCTTTGGTGTCAGACTCCTGGTTCTTCAGTCTTTGGACTCTTCAGTCTTTGCACCTAGAAACCCTCCAAGGGATCTCTGGCCTTCAGCCTCATACTAGCAGGTGTACTGGATGTTAGGCTTCTGCTTCTCTGGTTCTTTAGCTTACAGATAGCCATCACGGATATTTACAGGTTATGTGATTATGTGAGCCAATCTAACAAATCTCTTCTTTTATAATATACATACATACATACATATATATTTACACACACACACACTCATATACATTCATTTTGTTGGTCCTGTTTCTCTGAAGAACCCTGGGTAATACAGGACATGTCAGTTTAAGTGTGGTAAAAAGTATATAACCAAGCGCGGTGGTGCAAGCCTGTAATCCCAGCTGCTCAGGAGGCCGAGACAGGAGAATCCTGAGTTTAAAGCCAGCCTCAGCAACAGGCGAGGCGATAAGCAACTCAGTGATATCCTGTCTCTAAATAAAATACAAAATAGGGCTGGGGATGTGGCTCAGTGGTCGAGTGCCTCAGAGTTCAATCCCGGGTACCAGAGGGGGAAAAAAAAGTAGGTATACACACAGCTGGATTCAATGGCATAGTTACCTAGGAGGCTGATGCAGGAAGTCCCAAGTTCAAGGTTAACCTGCACAAATGAGTGAGACTCTATCTCAAAAAAATGTTTAAAAATCTGGGGATGTACCTCAGTGGCACAGCATGTATGAACCCTGGGTTCAATTCCTAGTACCCGATTTTAAAAAAAGTAGATACACATATTCTAATATATTAAGACTAGCAACTATAAATCAAAATGCTAACAGTATATATTCCTGAGAGGGGAGATTGGGCAGGATTAATTTTCTTCTTCACACTTTTCTTTTGTGACCAGAACAAAACAATAAATATCATTAAAAACAAAATGAAAAAATAGTCTTGTTCAAACTTTAGAAGGTCTTAAATCCTGCTTTTTCTGGATCTTACTCATTCTATCTTGTCTTCCCTAAGGGAGGCTCCGAGCAATTGCTTCTCTCTAAATCCAGCCCTGAGACTGAGCAATTATTTTCCAACCCTTGGGTTATCAACAAGTGGTGGGAAAGGGACAAAGCAAAGACCAGTAAGAAACCAGTCCCATCCCTATAAAACAATCCCACAGTGCAAGAGACTATAGGAAGAAAGTAATGCCTAGAGGGGCAGGTGATATATATAAGGGAAACAGGTAGTGGAAACTGTGGTGAAATGGTAAGGATACCCTTGTCTAAAGAAACCAGTTACTAGATTTTAACCAATTGTCACTGTATGAGAAATGCAGGTCTAGTGAACACCCATTTTCCCTTTTTTGGGGGGTACTGGGGCTTGAACCCAGGAGCACTTTACCACTGAGCTACACTATACTCCCAGCCCTTTTTATTGTTTGTTTTGAAAAAGAGTCTTCCAAGATGCTGAGGCTGTCTTGAACTTGCAATCCTCCTGCCTCAGCCTCTTAAGCTGCTAGGTTTACAGATGTGTGACATTTTCCATTTTTCAAAGAGAAAACAAAATTCCAGAATGTTTTTGAAATTTGAAGTTTTATAACATAGTGTAGATGAAATACAACACCATGCAGTTGAACTAAAACATATTTAAAAGCATGGCTTAGCCCCAAATCTGCCACTTTGTAATCTTACACAGAAAAGAGAGAGGTCTTTAAAAACACGAGATGCTGGGAGCAGTGGCGTATGCCTGTAATCCTAGTGACTCGGGAGTTTCAAGCAGGATGACTGAAAATTCAAGGCCAGTCTCAGCAACTTTGCAAGGTCCTAAGCAACTTAGAGCGAGACCCTGTCTCAAAAATAAAAATAAATAAATAAATAAAAGAACTGGGGATGTGGCACAGTGGTAAAAGCCCCTCTGGGTTCAACCCCAGTGCCAGAACCAAAACCAAAAAACATGAGAAAGTTGAGCATGGTAGCACATGCCTATAATCCCAGTGACTTGGGAGGAAGAGGCAAGAGGACTGTAAATTCAAGGATAGCATCAGCAACTTAGTGAGAATCTGTCCCAAAATAAAACAATGAAATAAGGAAAAAAGGGCTGGTGATGTAGCTCAGCAATAAAGTGTCCCTGCATTCAATTCCCAGTACGAAAAAGACAAACAAAAATCCACTTATGAGCCGGGCACCGTGGTACATGGCTATAATCCCAGCCGCTAGGGAGGCTGAGACAGGAGGATCATGAGTTTAAAGCCAGCCTCAGAAACAGGGAGGTGCTAAGCAACTCAGTGAGACCCTGTCTCTAAATAAAATACAAAATAGGGCTGGGGATGTGGCTCAGTGGTCGAGTGCCCCTGAATTTAGTCCCCAGTCCCAAAAAAACAAAATAAACAAAAAAATCCACTCATGAAAGAACTAGGCACAGTTATTCATGTCTTTAATCCCAGCAACAATGGAAGCTGTGGCAGGAGGATAGTAAGTTCAAGGCCATCCTGGACAACTTAGTGAGACCTGTATCAAAATAAAACAAAAAAAGTTTGGGAACGTAGCTCAGAGAAGCAAGGCCCTGAGTTTAATTCCCAGTACCAAAAGTCAAACAAATGAACAAAAACATAAAGAAAAGAAAAACTGGTTTATTCAAACAACTTCCAAGGTTGAGGTGGGTGAAGAAGACTTGATATGAGGACACAAACAGTGTAGTCACAAGAAAATCATGGTTAGCAGTAAGTCTAATCAGTTGGGCTCATCTAAAGAATGGAATAAATATCTCCCCAAAACTATCTACCTCTTTTTTGTTTTGATATCTTGATCACTAATCAATTACTGATTAAAAACACAGCTTTCAAAAAGAAAATAAATACAAAAGGCAAGCAAACAAACAAAAAAGCCCATTGCTTTCCAGACACTAAAGTTCCAGACCAGAAATGGAAAACAAAACATAAGCATTCAGCTCACTGAAAAAAGAGACTTACTTCCATTTAGAAAAAACAAATTGTAAAAAATAAAAAATAAAAAAAAAAATTGCAGCTGAGTTCTAAGTTACATTGGAACAATTAGTATGAGTCTCTCACAGATCATTGTATGTATGCCAGGCAATTTCAGTTTCTATCCCCAGAATACTGAGGTTTAGACCAAGGAAATCAATGACTCAATAAAAATGTGAATATTTCTTTTTTTTTTTAATCTTCATACACGTACTTTATTTATTATTTATTTATTTATTTTTTAGAATTTTTTAATATTTATTTTTCAGTTCTCGGCGGACACAACATCTTTGTTTGTATGTGGTGCTGAGGATCGAACCCGGGCCGCAGGCATGCCAGGCAAGCATGCTACCGCTTGAGCCACATCCCCAGCCCCATGGATATTTCTTATTTAAGGGTACTGTCATGGGCTGGGGATGTGGCTCAAGCGGTAGCGCGCTCGCCTGGCATGCGTGCGGCCCGGGTTCGATCCTCAGCACCACATACCAACAGAGATGTTGTTTCCGCCGAGAACTAAAAAATAAATATCAAAAATTCTTTCTCTCTCTCTCTCTCCTCTCTCACTCTCTCTTTAAAAAAAAAAAAAAAAAAAAGGGTACTGTCAGTTACAGTCAGCCTTCTAAAATACATCCCCATCTCTATACTTTTCCCATCAAACTTTGTTATTGCTCTCAAACCTGATGATTGGGTTCTTGTAGTAAAAGTAGCAATAATAAAATAAAAACTAAGTCTATGGCCAGGCACAGTAGAGCACACCTATAATCCCACCAGCAGCACAGGAGGCTAAGGCAAGAGGATCCCAAGTTCAAAGTCAATCTCAACAACTTAGCAAGGTCCTAAGCAACTTAGTAAGAACCCCTGTCTCAAACTAAATAAATACATAAAATAAAATAAAAAAGGATAGGGATGTGGCTCAGTGGTTAAGTGCCCCTGGGTTTAATTCCTGGTATTTAAAAAAAAAAAATGTGTCTATGAATCTTTGATAGGGAAGAAACAGTACTTACATTAACGAAATCTCCACCTTGAATCATGAAATCCTTTATAACCCTAAAACAAAGAGCAAAAGATCCTAAGAGAAGATTCTATGGTTTAAAAAAATATTGACTTACTGGGTGAAGTGGTGCACACCTATAATCCCAGCAACTCAGGAGGTTGAGACAGGTGAATTGCAAGTTCAAAGGCAGTCTCAGCAACTTAGTGAAGCCTTAACCAATTTGGCAAGACTGTCTCAAAATAAAAAATTAAAAGGGCTGAGCATGTGGTTCAGTGGTTAAGCACTCCTGGGTTCAATCCCTGGTACCAAAAATAAAATAAGAAATGAGGCAAGAATGGTGGCACATGCTTGTAATACCATCAACTCAGGAAGCTAAGGCAGGGGGATCCCAAACTCAAGGACAGCCTCAGCAACTTATTGAGACTCTTGTCTCAAAATACCCAGTACTGAAAAAAATGAATAAATAAGAGATTTAAACATTCTCAGATTTTGGTATCCATGGGCAAGGATGTGGGGGTTTCTAGAACCAACCCCCCATTGATACCAAAGGATGATTGTATTTGTGAAAATCCCGAGAATATCTCACCAAAAGCCTTACCTGTGAAAGGTGCTCCCTTTGTATCCTATTGGCACCCCATCTTTTCTATAACCAAAAAGAAAGAGACTTGGAATGATATCAGATAATCATAGGCCTTTCCAGTTTAGGACACACTGGAGCCAAAGGAACTCTCCTAAAGAAAGTAGGGAGAAGAGACATATAGAAGGTAAAAAAAGAAAAGAGAAACACCTAAGGATAGATCCCTGTGGTATTCTCTTCTATGACTCAGGGCTTTCCAATGTTTTCCCAACACACCCTCAGAAGTAGGCAGAGACTGACCTGAATTCTCCAGTGCAGAACTGCCTAAAAGGGAAAAGATGAACAGTTCAGTCACTATGCCATCATAGCTGTGTGCACTTCTAATCTCAGGAGGAGATGAAGGGGTATAGACATTGCATCCAGCAAACTCACCAACCAGACAGCCAAATGTCAAGACACACAGGCATATATGCCTAACAACATAAGTTGATATGAGAACAATAGAAAAGCAGTACCCATTCGGACAGAACAATACCCAGAGAAAACAGATCTCAAAGGCACTGAGTGGACAGAGGCAGATGGGTGATTCCGCGGACGTCCAGCTCCTGGTTCTGTTATTCCTTACCTAAAGTTCTCGGCTGTCTTGGGTACAACGTCTGCAAACAGCTCGATCTTCATGCGGCCAACTTCCTGCAAGCGGCAGGAGTCTTTGTGAAGCACCAGCGCACGATTGTGATGGGTTCACGGGAGATGCCACATCCCCAGGCTGCAAGGCATCTCCCACTTCCACTTCCACCTCCACCTCCTCCTCCATCTGCCTAGCTTAACCTTGCGTCCTGCCCAGTCCTTCCAGAAGCAGGGTGCTTGGGTGGGCAAGACTCATACCCTCCCGCCCCGCAGGAGGGAAGGCTCCGGTGCAGTTTCACACTCTGGCTCCCAAGTCCTCCCCCTCTGGGTTGGTGAGCTGTGACCGGCTAGCCCCGTGCGGTTTCTCTTCGCGCAGATCTGGGTGACCGCCTGTACCTTACCTGGCCGCCAATGCTGACATCAAAGAACACCACGGGATTGACAGGGCTTGAATTTGCCACCGCCATGGCTCCGACCCGGAAGCAGAAATCTGGCTTCCGGTGAACTAAACCCAATGCTGCGCTGCGGGGGAGAGGGTTCGGCGCAGGCGTAGTAGAAGTCGACCGGGCCCGGTCCCCGACGCGAGGCGCGATCCGGTTGGCTCGTGGAAGCTGGGGGCGCTCCAGGGAAAGGATCGCGCAAGAGGGGAAGGAGGGGGAGGAAAGGCCCGGCATCTTTTTGCTCAAGGTCGATAGGCTTCCCACTGACATAGCTGTACTAGTACAGTGTAGATTAATCTTTACATCCAGGGCGTTTTGAATAAGCAAGGCTTTCAGCTCTTGAAGCCAGGACCTCCAAACCAACTGTTTCGTGGTGGTTGTTCTACTTACGAGGATCTCTGTTTTGTTCATCCTCGGTATTGAAAACGGCTTGGCACATAAGGCTTGCTCAGTACTTGTCCCTTCCTTGAATTCAGGATACTAGAATCCTAATTTCAGTTCTGCCATAAACTTTTAACTCATTTCCCATAGAGCAACTCGGGTTTTTAAAATAATCTTTGCGCTTGAGAAATAAATCCTGGCTTCTGATATTTAGAATAAAATTCAGCTTCTTCCGTCCAAAGCTCTAAATGCAGCAGTCTGGCCACCTGCAGTCTGGCCTCACCTCAGATGACTCACCCTCAGTTACTATTCTGCCTTTCTCTTCCTCCAGGTCATTAAAATCGCTACTTTCCTTTGGGTCTTGGTAGTAGATGTTAATTCTGAAATATTCTTAGAGATCCTTTATAAGGAAGGCAGGGTAGCTCCTTGTAATTCAGGGCTCAGCCCAGGGGCAACCAAACAAAAGCCCTTTGTCACTCAGATCACTGGTTTTCTTTTTGCTGCTCAACTGTTCAAAATTATATGTCTTCATCGTTCATTCCCTGCCACACACAGCCTCCTCCCTAATAGTACATAAATTCCATGAGTAAAAACTCTCCTAGTCTGTCTTGTTCACAGCTGAGGCTGCGTTGCCTACTATCAACTAGTATATAATAAGTTTCGTTAAATAGACCCAGTGAATTGATTGAAAAAAATGTTACCTTGGGCTAGACTCAGAGTCAGAGCCCGCGTTTAATACAATAGCTATTATTTCCTGTATCCTTGGATCATCTTTTCTAGTGATTGAGGAAGTAAGAGTTACCTATAAAAATTCAGTGCATCTAAAATGGGCCCGGTGGCTGCACACTTGTACTCCCAGAGACTCAGAGGCAAAGGCAGGAGTATCACAAGTTAGAGGCCAGCCTCAAGAATTCAGCAAGGCCCTAAAGCAATTTAGCCAGACCCTATCTCTATCTCTAAAATATAAAAAAGGGCTAGGGATATGGCTCAGTGGTTAAGCATCCCTGAGTTCAATCCCTGTTACCAAAAAAATAAAAGGATGTGGGATTAATGAGGCACAGTGGCACATGCCTGTAATCCCAGTGGCTTGGGAGGCTGAGGCAGGAGGATTACAAATTCAAAGCCAGTTGGATATATGACCCAGTGGTTAAGTTCCCCCGGGGTTCCATCCCTGGTACACCAAATAAATAAATAAATAAATAAAAAAGAATTATACAGKTTTTTTTTTTTTAATTACTTAAATGTGATTACATTGTGTTTTTTTTTAAATAATAAAACTTAAAAATACCCATGATAATGGAAAAGAATGCTATATTAACCATATATATACTCTGAAGTAAAACCTAATTATATCATTAAACTTCACTGTACTGATCAATACAAATCATCTCAGGATATAAAACAAACTTGAGAAATCCATTTTTAGAAACTGTTTAATGAATTATCAGCAATTTTGAAGACTCCTGGCTGACATACAGTGAGGAATCTGGAATCTTCCATGTCATAGTCCACTTTAACGTTCAAGCTTTAAGTTAGCAGGTTTGATCATTATAGTGTTAGACACCAGCGATTTTATAGTTCTGACTTTTGGTCTTGTTTTTTTAGGCTGTGTGCTTCTTTCAGAAAAGCCATATTTATGTATCCAGTTTCAGAATTCTGTGAACATGAAAGAGACTCAGGGGACTTTGAAACTCCAGTTGCTGCTTCTGATTTATGTTCCTTGGTCCCTTGAAGATTTCCAATGGATTCTAACAGACGTGCTCCTGAAAAACTAAGAAAGAACATGAGTGAGGGCATTGTATGAATAGAATTGCCTGGTAGAAGTTTGGGGTTACAGGGATGTGGCTTCAATAATATTTCAGTTTTTTACAACTCTCAAGCACAAAGAAAAAAAAATAAAATTTACCTTTAACCTATTCTTGTAGGTTACCTCCCATCTTACTTAAATAAGATTCTGTGGGGTATGAGGGTGAAGGGTTGGTGAGGGGACAAGGAGTTAGGAGAAGATTCACTTACTAATTGTAGAAGAATACTCTTCAATGCTATGCTTTCTCAAGACAGCAACTCAGAGCTAGTTAACAGCTATGCCTCTCGGGCATGCAGATGACTCTATTGATTTTACTAACCTAGATCCTGGAAAAGGCAATATTTTCTTTAGTACATCAAGTCCAGGGATGTCACTAATTGTTGCTTCCTAAAAGGAAAGAATGGACTAATATTAAATATTATAATGATAAACCATTGGCAGTGTGATTCTAGAATTTATACATATGAATATATAATATAACTATAATACCTGAATATACTACACACAACAAAAAGCATAAAAGGGTATAGAATGAAAAGTTGCTTGAACAACACTATCAATAAGTCAGGCTCTCTCTCTCTCTCCCATATATAGTCTATATTGATCGCTATATATATTTATATAAACTATCCATATAATATATAGATTATATAGTCTATCTCTGTCTGCCTATCTTTCTAGTTTTTACTCACATGATTTTATACATTCTGTCTTCATCTTTCTTCTTTTCTGTTCATATTTGGAGAACATATACAAGGGTCTTATTTTTTGTTGTTATAATAGCATTGTTGACAAATAAATCATATACCACAAAGTTCACCCTTTAAAAATGCTTGGAAGAGCTGGGTATGGTGGCACATGCCTGTAATCACAGCAATTTAGGAGCTGAGGCAGGAGGATTCCAACTTCAAAGCCAGCCTCAGCCACTTGGTGAGGCCCAAGCAACTTAGTGAGATCCTGTCTCAAAGCAAAAAATTTAAAATGGACTGGGGATGTAATTCAGTGGTAAGTCACCCTGGGTTCAATTCCCAGTAACCCCTCCCACAAAAAAAAAAAAAAGCTTGATTCAGTGCTTTTCTATGTATTCACAGTTTTATGCAACCATCAACACTATCTGATTCCAGAACATTTTTATTACCCTCCCCAAAAACCCCACACCCATGAGCAGTCACTTTTCATTCCACTCTCCTGCCAATCACTAATATATTTGCTGACTTTATGGATTTTCTTATTCTGGACATTTCATATAAATGGAATCATATGATCCTATAATATGTACCCTTTTATATCTGGTTTCTTTCTTTCTTTTCTGGAACCAGAGATTGAACCCAGGGACACTTAACCACTGAGCCATATATCCAGCCCTTTTTACTTTTTTATTTTGAGACAGGATCTCACTAAGCTGCTTAGGGTCTTGCTAACTTACCTGGGCTGGCCTTGAACTTGTGATCCTCTTGCCTGCAGTCTCCCCAGTTGCAGAGATCACAGGTGTGCGCCTCTGCACCCAGCTGAAAATTCTACTTTTGATGAAATATTCAAAACAACTAGCATAGCTTAGAAGCAATTACCCTTTTGAGAGTAAAGGTGCATTCTCAACAATAGTGCCCAACAAGCAGGATCTACTGTTAAGTATCCTGGGAAGGGATGTCTTACAAATGATACAAACCAGGGAAGGAAGAAAATAGCCTCTGCCTTGGATTTAGAATATAATTCTTCCTACTGAAGTCCCTCTTTCTAACCTGCTTATCATCCAGACTCTAGACCTTGTCTCACCCTGTATTATTTTCTGCCTCTCTCTAAACTTGGTTACTTGTCTGAATTTTTGGAACATAATTGCTTTTCTTGGACTAAGGTGCTCTGTTGTCTTGATTCTTTAATAGGCTAGTTTCACTTAACTTCTCTGAGCTCAAGACTTGCTCACCTTTCTTTCCTAATGTGCTAGAGTAATACATTATGAACAAGGTTGCTGAGAATGAGGCATATATATGAAAACATTTAACGTTCATTCATTCTCAAATATCTGTGGAGCATCTATCTGCAGATACAGCAATATATGAACTACAGTTGTTGCTCTCTAGGATCTCACTGCAGAGTTAATGCGATAGAAAAGAAAAACAGCAATAACCACTATATGATATGTTAGAGAAGAAGCTCAGAGTCATACACGAATTGCTTTGGAATCACATCAGTGAGTTTTAAAGCTGACCCAATGAAGAGCAGAGTTGGTCGACAGCATTTGCAGGGTTTGCTACCCTGGTATATGTGTAGCCAAGGAGCCTCTTTGCTGCAACCCACCATGAAGCCAAGAGCACAACTAGAGCTATATGAAGTTGAAGAGAAGAGAGGGTACAGCAAACTTAGCAACTAAACTTCAGATTAAGGACCCAATAAAAAGTACATATCTTACCTCTTTTCTGCGAATCTGGATGTTCCATATAATGCGCTCTAAGAAGCTAACTTGCTGCATGAGCCGGAAATGATTTTCCTGTAATTGCTTATTTTCTTTATCCAGGAAAAGTGCTCTAACAACAGTATAAATCAGAGACATAGCTAGAAATGTCTTTTTCTTTCTTTCTTTTTTTTTGGGGGGGGAGGGGCAGTACTGGGGATCAAACCTGGGACCTTTTGCATTCTCAGCATTTGCTCAACCAGTAAGCTACCCACCCTCCCTAGAAATTCTGCATCATTTTTGAAAGCCCAAAACTATGTTCCACATCCCACTGTCTCTGGGTCTTGGACCACTGTCCAGAATTTAGACTAAGTTTGGCAGAATAATTCTTACCATATTATACAATCAACTAAAAAACAATAAACTTCTGGTCTGTAAATGGTTATTAAATACACATGCATGAAT